AAAAAATTATTGATGTGATGGAAAATATTATTTTATTCAATAATGTGTGGTTGAAAATGAGTATTGATTTACTGTAGAATTTGAGAATCTAAAACAAACAGGCCCTTATATTTTTGGAGTATGTTTGATGGATATTATTTTGGAATAATGTCTTTTGGAATAGTAGATCGATGGAGAATGTGTGGTTAAAAAAGAAGGAAAAATTATTGATGTGATGGAAAATATTATTTTATTAAAGAATGTGTAATTGAAAATGAGTAGAAAAATAAAAATGAAAATTTTTATGTGTGTCAAACAGGGCTTAGTTATTTTTCATGTCATTCTTATTTTCAAACTTTCTATTAACTAATATATTTTATATTTGATAATATTTTTATGTTCAAAAGTCCACTAAAATTGTGTAAAAAAAATTTATTTTTCTGTCATATTTTTAAAAAATAAATAAATAAAATGTGCGAAAAATAATTTTTCCTCATTTCAAAGCATAAAAATAAAATAGTTTAATATAAATCATTATCGAGAACAAAATGTAATAATTAATGGAAAGTATAAGAAATCAACGAAAGTAATTAAGAAAGTAATTGTTACAATGAGAAAAATTGAACGGCTTAACTGCAATTAAAATGTGATGTATCAAATAAAAATTGTGGTATAAAAGGAAGTTCTGTTTGAGCTTTCAAAAATAGATTTTTCTAAAATTTATTTTCAACTACACATTTTTCTATAAAAAATGTTATGCTTAAATTCAAAAAAAAAAATCTTATTTTTTAACCAAACATTTTTCAAAAAAATCACCATTTCAAAATACATTTTTTCAAAAAAAAAAAAAATCAATTTAATGAAGCCCCAACAGGGGACGGTAAAATGTCCTATCTTTTTTATTTCGTAATGGGATAATTGCAGCAGTGATACCAAACCCTTTATTTAATTGCAGACTTTGCCCAAACCTTTAACTTGTATCACCCACAGTACCAAATATTTCATTTGTGCCACCCATGGTACCAAACTTTTTCAAAATGTCGTAACTGAAGTCCAAATAGATGGTTTATGTTAGTTTAACCTTTAGTTGAACAAATAATTGATTTTGACAACAATTTTAATTAATTTTAAAAGGTTAAAATGGTAATTTTATATTTTTATAATAAAATAACTAAATTCCAATAATTAAAACTAAAAACAAAAAAATTAATTTCATCTTCTCCGTTCAGCCCACACATACCCACCCCAAAACCATCACCTCCACTGCCATCTCCTCCACCACCACCACAACTATTTCCTCCATTGTAATCAATAACTACACATCTACTCATCACTAACCAAGCGAAGATTTTTACTTTTTGAAATCAATTTTACAAATTAAAGGTAGTTTTCTTCACAAATGGCGACCATGAGTTTGGTTGGTGTTGACTTTACTTTTTTATATTGTATTATGAGCAATAAATAAAACCCACAAAGATGAAGACTAAAGAAGAAAATGTACAATCCTCCTTGCTTGATTCCCTTTACTATGAAGAAGAAAAATGCGGAGAATTTGAAGAAGGTGAAAAATTCAACTTTAATGGTGGAAATCTGTCAAATTTTCCTAATTTGTTAACAGAACAAGATAACCTCATGTGTTGATTACCATGAAACCTTCAATCCAGTGGGCATCCACTCTGAGAATAATTCTTGCCCTTACAGTCTCAAAAGGCTGGAGCATTAGACAAGTAGACATCAACAATGCATTCTTGAACAGGAAAATAGATGAAGAAGTTTACATGAGGCAGCCGGAAGGTTTCATTGATAAGACAAATCCTACCTTTGTATGCAAACTCAAAAAGGCTCTTCATGGACTCAAGCAAGCACCTATAGCATGATATGATAAGCTAAAAAAGACTCTGATGGAATGGAATTTTTCGAGATCAAAGGCAGAAAACTCCTTATTCTTTTATATGAATCAAAAGCAGGTTATCTTTGCTCTGGTGTACGTTGATGATATTGTGATCACATGCAATGATCACAGTGTGTTGCAGTGCTTTATTGACAAACTAAATTCACAATTTGCATTGAAAGATATGTGTGAGTTACATTAGTTTCTAGGAATTGAGGTGAGAAGATATGAAACTGGCATGCATCTCACTCAAATCAAATACATAAAAGATCTACTAAAAAGGTTCAATTTTGAGCATCTCAACCCTTGTGCAACACCTATGGCAGCAAGTAATCTGTCTCCAAAAATGAAGGTGAAACCATGGCGGATCCTTTCTTGTATAAAAGTGCAATTGGTGGATTACAATACCTAGCACACGCACGACCTGACATAACTTTTGATGTGAATAAGATGAGCCAATTCTTTCAAACACCTACAGATATTCATTGGAAGGCAGTCAAAAGAATTTTTCAGATATCTAAAAGGAATAATTGAGCAATGGCTATGGATTTGAAGGAGTGACAAAATAGACATTACCGGCTTCGTTGACGTTGATTGGGCCTCGTGCCCTAATGACAGAAGATCCACAACTGGTTATTGTGTCTACTTAGGTGACACCTTGGTGGCCTGGTCATCAAAGAAGCAACAAGTTGTTGTCAGGTCCAGTACTAAGTCAGAATACAGAGCCTTAGCACAAGCTACAGCTGTAATAACTTGGATTGAATCTCTGTTCAAAGAGATTAAGCTGCATTCCTCAGTACCTCCTATATTATGGTGTGACAATCTTAGTGCAAACGCCTTAACCTCAAATCCTGTCTACCATGCACGGACAAAGTATATAGAGTTAGATATACACTTTGTAATGAAGGAAAACTGAAAATCTAATATGTTCCATAATCAGATCAAGTAGCAGACTTGCTAACAAAACCCCTTGCTCAAACCAAATTCATGTTCCTTATTAAAACTTCAACTGCAGCATGTGGGTGTGTTTGTTTTGATTGATTGTGTCGGAGATGGGGAAGAAGATGAAACTTTCTTTTACTTCTTATCTCTCTCTCTCTCTCTCTCTCTTTAATTATTTTAATGATTTTGTAGAAAAATGTAAAACTATCATTTTGTCATTTTAAAATTGATTGACCCTTGACGTTTGGTCAACTGAATCCTTTAGTTGATTCTCGTCCATAGATAATTTCGTCACACAGAATTGAAAGTGTTATGGTTCAATAGGTGGAAGCGACACGTGGCACC